GAGACCCTAATGGAAAATCCATTCCGCATTTTTATTGCAACTGTACTTGTACCCTAATGTTTTCTAATGGAGCCCATGCAAGTCAATTGACATTCCTGGCTCCCATGATTTCCAATGGGCCTTCCAGCGTCTCCCATTGTTTCCAATGGGCAATCCTGTCCTTCCTTCTAGTACATCCCCTCAGCGATTCGAGATGGGCTTCTTAGGGAAACCGCCGAGTCTGCACAGACCGTTCCTTGTACCTAACCGATTCTGCTTTTTCTTTTTTTAAACAAAAATCCATCTCCGGATTGTGATTGATTTGAAACGTGCCCCGTTTTAAAGCTTTTTATTGAACCCAGCGTCCCTTAAAATAACCTGATCCAGTTCAAAACTCTCTTCTTGAACTGCGCTTGGCAAGTAGGAGTCTTGGATTAAAGGGGTGAAACAAGCGGGAAATCTCACAATCGGCTTCCCCTTTTCCAGTCAGCTGCTGGAAACCTGCCCCAAGAGAATTGCAGCAGCCTCTGGGTCGTGGACCCCGAGTCCCCCACCCGTGCATCCTGTTTATCTGCCCTGCGAAGCACAGAGGACCGTTTCCTGGAAATGTCCTGCCTTGCTCTGACCCCATCCCCCAGCCAGCCGGCTTTCCCTCCACCCCACCCCCCTCTCCCCGGCAGGAGGAGGACTGGAACCTGGCAGAACATTTCCCCGCTGCCTGCCTCGCTCCCAGGCACCGGGTAAACAGGGAAGCAGCAGCTCGGTGGCGCCACCCAGCGCCCCCCCCCCTTCCGAGCCCGGACGGATCCCCCCTCCCCGCAGAGCTCACCGCAGCGACTTCCCTGAAGGATGAGGCTTCAGTGCCTGTTCATCGCCTGCCTCTTCGTTGCACCCGCGGTTCTCGCTGAGGCTAGGACATGTAAGTAAAGTCGGTCGGCACGGCCAACTTTCCGGGAAAGTTTTTTTTAAACCCCCCCCCCCATCCATCCCCACGCCTCTGATTGATTTGGATCTGTGTCATTCCCTCGTCCTCCAGATGGCTGCTTGTACTCCGCAACGAGCAAAACCGTTATTCCCACCCTTGCTAAATGTATACTTTCTCTAGGGAACGCATTTCTGCAGGCCTTCCGCACGCTGCAGCCTGGTTCTGAGCCTTTGACTCAGAAGTAAATCCGATTCTGCTCGATGGGCTTTAAGCTCTGGGAAACGACTGCAGTCACGTCTCAGGTCAGGTGTGCTCTGCTGATTTCCCTCAGAAGAGAGGCGAAGCTCTGCCTGATTTGGGCTCTGGCAAGGCCCCCTTCTCCCTTCTCTTCTGCCGAAGTAATCAGGTTTGTTTGTGCGCAGATGAGCTTGGGGCTGGGGGCAATCAATGCGCAGACGAAGTAATTAGTAACACTAGGAGAGGGGAGCTTTTTTTTCTGACTGGGGTGAAATAACCAGGGCATGAAGAACAGCTTGGTCGACATAGTGCTGAAGAGTTTTTATGCAACATTTGGAAGAGCATGGAAAACTCATCACGTTTTTGCACCAGGTCTCTCCTCCGCCCCAACTTGTTGCCCCGGTGACCTTTTTCATTTGTCAGTTTCTTTTTCAGCATCCACTCCTTTCTCCCACATAGGCACCTCTGCAGTAACCACTGTGGTCCATCTAATTCTGTATCCTAACTGAGCCCTGATTAAATGCACATTTTGCATCTACGGTTAGCATAAGTAGCAAAGGGATCAAGAGGAGGACAAGAATTCACAAGAGGAAGCTGTAGAATTCAGGACATACACCAATCCTGAATGTGCCCCATGGGACAGTCTCCAATATATTATCAACCCTGCCCCTTTGTGCCGCAATCATCACCCAGCTGTCCAGACCTTTCAGGTAGCAAAACCCAGCTCCCATGTCGAACAACTTCCAGATATATGATGGATAGCAGTGGAGGTAGAGGCCAAATGGTAGGTGTCTGCAACCTATGGCTCTAGAGCCAAGTGGGGCTCAGTACAGACACAAATACAGCTCTTCCAAAAAGAAAATGAAGATATATTTGAGGGGTAGGTGGGATACAAAAATAACCAGTATGTGAAGTGAGTGGCAGACGATTTTCATGGGGTTAAAGGGCTTCTTAGAGATGCTTTAAAGAATGGGAACAATAGAGGTGAACATTTGCCAGTAAACCAAGTGTTGAACCATGTGCACATTTATGCCAGCACACTAAAGCAATTTATGTATTTTATACCCTGCCTTCCTCATTCTCCTTGCCATTTTCTCTTCACAACAACCCTTGAGGTAGATTAATCTGAGAGTATGATTGGCCCAAGGTCACCTGGCAACTTTCTGTGGCAGTGAGGGGATTCAAACCTGCATCTATCAGATCCTAGTCAGTGCTCTAACCACTACACTACAGTGTCTCTCACTGTGCAGGGTTCTCCTGTGTTTATTATTGTGAGACTTCGTGTGTACCACTTCCCAACAAAAGACACACGACAACTAGTGTTTGGACTGCATGTCAGTTATCAGTATCGTTAAGTTGCATATTTTCAACTTTTTGCTCTAAATTTTCAGTGTTGCCAACCTTCAGGTTCCTTAGAATTACAATTGATCTCCAGACTACAGAGATTAATTCCCCTGGAGGAAATGGCAACTTTAGAGGGTGGACTGTATGACATCACATCCCGGCTGAACTCCCTGCCCAAACTCCATAAATTCCCAGCCTGGCGTTGGAAGCCCTGTTTGGCTCTAAATAATAAAAGGTTGGGAACCCCCTGCTCTGGCTCTTTAAAGATCTTCAGGGGACCAGAGGGCAGAGGTGCATGGAGGCAAGGAAGTGTGGCACTTAAGGTATCTATTAGAGAAAACTTCAGAACAGGATTACAGCTGAGCATCACAAAGATAAAAGTGATGACTACTGAGGAATTACACAAGTTTATGATTAGTAATGAAGAAATTGCAAAAGTTAAAGATTTTCTATTCCTTGGCTCATCATCAACCAAAAGGGAGACTGCAACCAAGAAATCAGAAGGTGATTGAGACTTGGAAGGGCAACCCTAAAGGAACTAGAAAAGATCCTTAAATGTAAGGATGTGTCACTGAAGATCAAGATACTATAGTATTCCCCATTACTATGTGTTCATGTGAAAGCTGGACAATGAAAAAAGCTGAAAAGAAGCAAATGTGTGCATTTGAAATGTGGTGTTGAAGGAGAGTTTTACAGATAGCATGGCCCGTCAAAAAGACCAAGTGGGTTCTACATCAAATCAAGTCTGAAGCTAAAACGACCAAATTGAGACTATTGTACTTTGATCACATCATGAAAAGACAAGACTTGCTGGGGGGGGGGGGGACAAAAATGTCTAGGGGAAAAATTGGAGGCAAGAAGAAAAGAGGAAGACCCAGCATGAGATGGACTGACTCCACAAAGAAAGCCACAACCTTCACTTTGCAAGATCTAAGCAAGGCTGTTAACGACAGGACCTTTTGGAGCTCATTAATAATTTACAGATTCACTGTAAGTTAGAAACTACTTCCACAGTGCACAACTCACATGTAGACAAGACAATTCAGTTGTGAATTATGCTGTAGTGCATCAATAATACACTATCCAACAATGAGTGGGTTCAGCCTGGAAGGAAAGACGCTAGTACCTCATGCAGATTTTCCTATCACTTCAAGCAGTGTGATGGGAAAATTCCAGCAAGTCATTTCTTGCAGTTTTTGAAGACAAAGGAGCACTCTCAGGATCTGAATTTGACAATCTGTTGATGTATTACGTAAGCACTTAAATTAATATATTTTGTTCTGATATTGAACCTCTAAAAGGATTATTCTGCTGTTGTTAATCGTGGTTGCCCAAAAACAAACCCAGTCAGTCTATTTTGACTTCTTCTCTGTGGGACAGTTTCAGCAGTATAAAAGAGGTCTGTTCTGCTTCACAAAAAGTTTTGAGTACATTGATGAGCTAAGTCTTCCATTCTTGTTTATTTGTCACTTAAAGTCACTTCTAATCTTAAAGCAAAAATCAGATTCATATGATCTTTGTTGGCCAAAACAAAATAATTCAACAAATGGAGTGATAATCTTAATACATACTGAATGGCATTAAAAATGATGTACAATACAGCAATTGAGATTCGAAAAGCTGCATGAGCGATCCAATTATACAAGATTCTTCAGATGAAGGTGTTCACAGATAAGTTTTTTTAAAAAAAGAATTACGATGTCATATGACAGAAAAGGTTAATTGATTTATAATCTGTACAAATTGTGTTTACCATGGAGTATTAAAATTCCATGTAATTTCGGGAAGAGTAGTGTTTAAATACTGTAAATCATAACATGTTAACCTGATGTTAAGATGTACAACTTGATCCCATGTCTGTAGCACAGGAAGAGAGTAGCTTGATGTACAGTGTGGCTGTGACCCTCAAACATCTGTACCAGTACTTTGAACTTTGGGTTGATAAAAGGTTACTCTTTACTTGCTTGAGCTGTGTTGCAGTCAATAGAAAGTCCCCTGTTGACTTGAGAAAGGTGGTGAGGTCTGTTATCTTTTCTGTGTTTGATTGGATGGGGTCAAAGACTCATTTGATTTGCAACCTTCTGTGTGGTATAGAGGAGTTATTTTAAGTGGGAAAATGTTCTGTTGCTTGAATTTAAAAAAATTGACCTAAAATGTTGGTAAGCTATGTGTATCATTTATTTAAGGATGATGATATTCTCCTTTTCCAGAGAATAGAATTTGCCCTCAAGGTGGCTAGCTGTGTAAATCAATAAACCAATAAAATTGTCAATGAAGCAAAAAAAAAAAAAGCAAAAGGAGCACAGCAGGATGAAAAGTAACACTGCAGTAATACATTTAAAGTTAAATTTAACCTCAAGCAGCAGTCGACAGCAAACTCCAAGAGTAAACACCTAAAATATAGCCTTAAAGCAGCATAAAATAATATAGTTAAAAAAACCTTAGAAAGTCAAATGAGGCTAAGAACTTGTCTATTTCTGTTGTCTTGGGTTATCTATAGTTGCTTGCCAGAACTTGCAGAAGCAGTAGGATGGAGCAACCTTGGAGTCCTTCCTTATTTTGCAACATGATTCTGCAAGTGACTTCTCAGTGGCAATGGTATGGCATTCCTAAAAAAAATTCCTGTACTGAGATAAACTTGCTGCAGAGAGATAGCATAGGTGCTGTTCACCACCTTGTATAATAATGGGGCTTTTCTGCAGGATTTATTTTCTGGGGGGCAGGGGGCATATTTTCCAGGTTGGACCTTCCCTCACAAATACACAATGAGAGGCATCACATTGCCACCAGCAAGCTACATTCAATTGTGGTCTGGGGTGTTTACTTGTATGCAGTGTTCCCTCTAAGCTGTGAAGTCTTGTGAGTAAAAATTCTACTTTGTGAGCTACTGGCATTAAAGTTGTGATTGAGCGATTTGGCTACTGCATAAATTAGTTTGATCTGGAGCCATCCTTCCTGAGCTAAGACAAAAATGTGTGAGCCAGAAGCTAAAAAACTGTGAGCTAGCTCACACTAACTCAGAGGGAACACTGCTTGTCTGTATTATTTAATTTATTTCATCTGTCTCTGTAATCACAGTTTAAGTGTGCCAGCCTAGTGTTTGAATGAGCCGGTTTCTTGCTATCAGCAGGTCTGATCAAAAGAGTACAAATAACTTCCAAGAATGGAGTCTTTCTCCTCCAACACCTCCTGGCAAGCATCTTGTGATCTAGTTGATTTCACTTCCAAGTGGGACAGATGGCTCCTGTTCTCGATTTACTCTGTTTTTTGTGAAACTGACTGGGCCAGAAAGTGGCTGTTTGTGAGGAACTGCTTGTAAGGAAGAGTTCCAGCCTTCATAGGATCATTCTTAAGGATTCCAGCTGTGGTGGTGTGGGTTGTTTTTTTTTTGGGGGGGGGTATTTAATTTAAAAAATCCTGGTTATTTTCCTGGTCTTTATGCAGATCTATCTCCCATGTCCCTCAGAATCTTGACTGTAAATCTTGACTCTACAGAATTGCTTGATTGTAGAACAATGGGTTCAATGCCAGATGTTTGCTTTTATCAAGTTTTATCACAGCATCATGCCTCAGAGTTCCTGGTCCGAAAACGTCGGTCAAATTCCTTTATGGAAGAAAGTAAGAAGGGAAATCTGGAGCGGGAGTGCATTGAAGAATTGTGCAATAAGGAAGAAGCCAGAGAAGTCTTTGAAAATAACCCTGAAACTGTAAGAGTTCTTGTGTTAATAAACTAATATATATTGACCTGTTACTAAGGAGGGACCTAATGCTGGCAGAACAGACATTTGTATATACACTTGGAGTGTTCAAGATACATCAATATGCATGTATATTTATATAATTGTAATTTCCCAAACAAATACCAGAAGGTTATTTCAAGGCTGGGAAATACTGCAAATTACTAGGGGGGTACACAAATACTTGGGTGGCTGGCAGTGAAGTCCATGGGAGCTTTATATTCCTTGTGTGTGATTCCTTAGGTGGTGTTCTCTAAGGTTCAACCTGCATAGCTTTCAGAGGCAGAACTTTGTGATGTATCTTCATTTTCAGTAAAAGGTTATTGGCATAATAAAATAAGGTAATAGTAAAGAGCACAAGGTGTAATCTAAAGAATTCCCTAGTTCAAATTGCATCTCAGCCTTGAAATCAATTGGAAGCCTTCAGGGAAGCTGTCATTTCCTTATTTATGTTTATATCCTGCCATTCTTGCTTCCTGAAATGCAAGCCAGTTTATGTGGGGGTTCCCAGAGTCTTTCTGGGCGCCGCAGATGCACACCTGCTTAGCTTCAGCAGGGCTACTGATCACATACCTTTTAGTCACACTCTGCAAGGCTTTAACCCGATCTGCAAGGCTTTAATAGAGGTGTAATAATGCTGTTCTGCTTAACAAGGGTGTTGTCAGGACTGGCGAGAGAAAATGTGTGATGTGCATGGAGCACTGAAAAATCAGTGTATGACTTAAGTATTTATATTTTCCCCATGAAAATCCAAAACAAATTACAACATCATTCTTCCCATCTCCATTATCCCCAAAGTGACCCCGTGACATAGATTAGGGTGATAGTGACAAATGCAAGGTCCCGTAGCAAACTCACATGGAGCAGTGGGGATTGAACCTGGGTCTCTCAGCTGTTAGTCTAATACTATATCTCCTAGTCGAATATGATAGTCTAATACTATACTGGGTATAGCATTTGGGGCTGCAGCAGAACAGAGGAAGTGGAGAAGTCCCACTCTGCTGTTGGAAACCCTTTCCAATCAGTAATAATTTTGCTTAGCATCTAATCCATAGCAGAATATGATCATGGAATACCATTATGATGGATAACTTTGGGTAGCATTTACTATAAGAACATAAGAGACGCCAATGTTGGATCAGGCCAAAGGCCCATCCAGTCCAACACTCTGTGTCACACAGTGGCCAGAAATACCAGTGCCATCAGGAGGTTCACCAGTGGGGCCAGGACATTAGAAGCCCTACCACTGTTGACCCCGCCCCCCAAGCACCAAGATGACAGAGCATCACTTGCCCCAGAGTCCCTATCTATACCTTGTGGCTAATAGCCACTGATGGACCTCTGCTCACTTGCCCCAGCATCACTTGCCCCAGATGACAGAGCATCAGCACTTTGAATGGCATCATCTGAACATAAGCATCTGAAAGTTTAATTATAAGTCATTAGCACCATAACTGGAAAAGATAATCTTTGCTTCCGTTTTGTTTTCCTTCCCAGAGGAATATTTGCAAACTGAGGCTGTTAGGTCCCCTGCATTTCATAGAGTATATGCTTTGTGTGTTACATCAGAAAACAGCATTCTGTTAGTCGTTATCAAATAAGCAGCAAACAGTAAAAATAAATAAAATTATTTTCAATAATGTATAAAGTTATAGCACTAGTAAATGCAAATTATCTTTCAAAGCAATGCAAACAATTGAACAATGTCTCTTTTTTATTTTAACATTCTAACTGGATTTTTTCCCTTTTTTTAAAAAAAACAGGAGTATTTCTATCCCAGATATTTAGGTAAGTTTAGCAAAAACAAAACAAAGCATAAAATCACATGTTTATTTTTTCTCTGTTTCCATATTATCAGTTTTGTTAATTTAATCACTAAATGACTTTTAGAAGGAAATTGAAGCAGGCAAAAAGATTCTTGGTTTTTTAATTTTATTTTATATACATGTATTTATTTATTTAATTGTATTTATACCCCGCCCTCCCCGCGAATGGGCTCAGGGCGGCTTACAGACGGCACAACAGTGCATATAATATATTAGATAAAACAGGGAAAATTTAATATTATCAGATACAAGATAAAACTCCCCTACCTCTTACAAGCAGAAGGGGAGGACTAGGGCCGTAGATGGATGTTACCTGGCCCTCCAGCGGTATCGCTCTTGTGCTGGAGCGGTGGTGGTAGTGGCAGTGGCGGCTCCTACTCAAAGGCCTAGCAGAAGAGCTCCGTCTTACAGGCCCTGCGGAATTGCATGAGGTCCCGCAGGGCCCTGATCTCCTCTGGGAGCTCATTCCACCAGATAGGAGCCGCCACTGAAAAGGACCTGGCCCTCGTTGCCGCAAGCCTGGCCTCCTTGGGGCCCAGGGTCACCAGCCAGTGTTGTGACCCCGACCGAAGTGCTCTTTGGGGAATGTGTGGGGAAATGCGGTCCCTCAGGTATGTCGGACCCTGGCCATGTAGGGCTTCAAAGGTAAGCACCAGCACTTTGAAGTGAATCCGGTATGCTATAGGTAGCCAGTGCAGCGCTTTCAGTACAGGTCGGGTGTGCTCCCACCTAGGGGCGCCCACCAACAGCCTGGCCGCAGCATTCTGCACCAGCTATAGCTTCCGGATTTGTGACAGAGGCAGCCCCATGTAGAGAGCGTTACAGTAGTCTAACCTTGAGGTGATCGTCGCGTGGATCACTGTAGCCAAGTTGTTACGGTCGAGGAAAGGAACCCACTGCCGTACCAGCCGAAAATGATAAAAGGCCGATCTAGCAGTGGCTGCCACCTGGGCCTCCATTGTTAAGGAGGGGTCCAGGAGCACTCCCAAACTCCTAACCTCCGAAGCTGGCACCAAAGGCGCCCCATCAAAGGACGGAAGCGGGAGCCCTAACCCCGATCCGGTCTGACTCAAGCACAGGACCTCTGTCTTTGCCGGGTTTAATTTCAGCCTGCTCCGTCTGAGCCACCCAGCCACAGCTTGTAAAGCCCGGTGCAGATCTTCTAGGTTGGAGTCCAACTGGCCGCCCAACATCAAATAGTCCATTTGATTATATATAGTTCATGTTTCTCACTGGGACTCAAGGCACATTACGCAGAGTAAGTCGATACAATCAACAGTGTGGGACATGGAATAGACAGTGCAGTAGGATTTAGATTGTAGGACTGTGGAACCAGCCAGAAATATGAACAGAATTGAAGCAAAACATGGATATTAATATGATGTGTTACATGATACAAAATTAGATGATAGGATCCTACTTATAGTAACAGACAATACAAATTTTGTACCATCGTATAGACAACAGTCCCTAACTCTTTACTCAAATATCTTACTGAGCTGTTTTGTTACAGTACAACCCTATTACCTATGTAGAAAAAGTCCTCTTGAGTTATTCATTTTTTGCAGTTTGTGGAACGCCAGGGCAGTGGGAGGTTTCCTGACCTCATCAAGCAGGCTATTCCATAAGGTGGGGGCTGCAGTAGAGAATGGACATGTACAGGCAGTTGTTAATTTTGCCCATTTCAGACCCCTTGGGAGAGAATTTGGGAGAAGTTCTGTCTGCACCATGTTTCCTAAGGACAGAACCAATATATGCTGTTTCTTGATCATTTTACTGCTTTTTTAACAACACAGTTGTGGGTGCTGCAGTGTAAAGGTGGATACTGTTTGCAGGGAAGCTGGACTGTTTAATTCTCAATACTCAATTATTTCTCTTTATGCTGTTTCACTGCTGAAAATTAGTACTCCCCAGCTGTTTTTATCCTAGCTGGAGAAAATATAAGGCTAACCATAAATTAGCCCACCCAGCGGTTTGAAAGCCGAAGTAACTGACGGCGAGTAGATAAATGGGAACCTACCCTTAGAAGGGTAGGGGGCACCCTACTCTACGGAGGTGTGTGGAAGGCGGCGGCGACAGCTGCATCAGGACATCGGCTGCAGCAGAATACCGGAGGTGGCGGCATGGCGTCGAGGCAGCAGCAAGCAGTAGCAGCATAGCCGAAAAGGAGTGATCCCTGGTGGCCAGCGGCAGAAACAGCAGGCGGCTGTCGTCAGCAGAGGCGAAGGCACAGCGACGTCATCCAAGGGTGCGGCGGAGCCTGAAGGACGCAGCCGGGCCGGAGGAGGACATCACCTGTGTACCAGACCGCCTGACTGCCTAAGCGCCAGGAAAAGAACATCTAGCTGCCGGGAATGGAGCCAAAAAGAACAGCCGAGCCAAAAAGACATCAGCCTCCACCTGGGTGCTGGTAGGCAGCCCCACCCATAGAATCAATGTGGCCTTAGTTAGGGTTTAATTGTGACTAGCACCCCATATGTAAACCACCCAGAGACCCCCATGGGGGTTAGGGCGGTATATCAAATCGAAGTGATAAATAAATAAATAAATAAATAAATTTTGCCAGTGCAGGTAAAAGCATCTTGGGAGTGGTGATTGCTCGTGCAAAATGTATGGAGGAAGAGTTAAATATTGTCTCACTGAACAGATACAAAACTGACAAAAATCCTCGTTCCAGCACTCAGATAATCCTGCAACTGCTAGGGCTACTTCCTTTCTAGGGGTCCTAACAAGCTGAGTTGGTACCGCTCTCTCCATGGAGTTGTTCAGCAACCTCAACAACAGATAATAGAAATTGCTGTGGGTGTTTGTTTTCTCCTCCAGCCTAGAGTTCTTAATGTTGCCTCCAAGTGTTCCTGGCTGCTGTCCCATTTGGGATAGCTCCACAAAGGAGCAGCTTTTACACAGTTTGGGGGGGGGGGCTGCATCAAGTTTTCCCAGTGGGCATAGCAGTTATGGGCCTAATTTAAAGACATATTGGGAGGCTATCTGTTATCCTCTCTTACAACTTAATTCAAGGAATGACTGGAATTAAGTCCCACTAAGTTTTATGGGATCTGCTACATGCATAGCTTCAGTCTTTACAAGTCCCACTAAGTTTCATGGGATCTGCTACATGCATAGCTTCAGTCTTTACAAGTTGAAATTGACTTCATATTTATCCCCCACATCTTGCAACCAGAACATGGCTATTATGGCCAAATATCATGGTTTTTCTAGGAAGGACTACAGCCAATAGCCTGGAGGAAAAAAGTGTCCTTTCCCTTTAATACAGGCTTAATTTACTAGGTGATGCCATTAACCTCCGTGCCATGAAAAGATTCCATACATTAAACCTCTATTCTTGAGGCTTGTTGGCATCTGTAGCCGAAGTTGCTTGAAGGTGCTTCGTACCATAGATAGCACCATAGCTAATACTTGGCATCCATCAGCTCTATCAAAATCTGCAACTGGAGACTTGAACTCTTGGGAGCGTGCAACCTATCCAGAGGAGACCGAATCTCAATTTCATTGGCAACTATGTCATCAAAGAAAAATGTACGGGCGAATTAATTTTTGCTTTGGCATATTTTTTCATGGGGTTGAGCTATCAAGAATGATAAACAAAGGCAATACAAAAATACATTTATCATGAAGTTTAGAGTATAAGATTATATGAACTCTAATAACATACATGAACTCCTTTTATCACCAGTTACTATAGACATGTAGAAGTCAATGGAATTTGCTCTGAAGGTGGTATGGCTTTTAGTTTCTTTTAGTCCCACAACCAGTTATAAGCTTTAAAATATTCTGTCCCTTCAGAACCTGTTTTAGGACTGATTTGTATAACGGGGGGGAGGGGATCATTTGACTTGTACTGGGATTCAGCTCCTTCTAATTTAAACTGCAGGAGGAATTGCACTCTTCATTGCTCCCACAGGAACAAAATTTCCCTGTTCACAGAAAGCTGACATGACAGGGAGAAGCCTTCTCACTTTTATCCTATTTGCCTTCAAAAATTTCTCTGCCTGCAGTCTAAAGTTATAATCCAGGGAGTAATTAAGCTCTTTGCATTTTAACTGTTTGCATTGTCACTATTTGTAAACTTTTTAATGCTTTGACAGACTGCCTGGCCTCTCACCGAGCAGGACTTTTCAGGACAATTCCAGTGACTTCTTCAGATGTTCCAGTGGACCTAAGGTCTTGTGTGAAGGGTAAGCTTTTGTAATCATATACCCATGAAGAACTGCAGGGACTGGGAGGAAGAATCTCATTTGTGCCTCCCTGCCCCTTCTACTACTCACTGCTTCTTTCTGCCCCTGCTTACTGTTGCGTTCTTGTTCTGGATGCTAAGATTGGGGTGTGGAGGTTAACCCCATGTTGTTGTTTTCTACAGAGTTAGTTTTTCTAGATCTAGGGGCTCCTTCCTTCACAGATTCTATTCTATTTTGTATGTGGGGAGGACACAGGGACATCAAGTATGTGTAGAGGCACTCTTATCGGCATGCTACTGAGTGATTGGTAGGTCTGGGCAGTGTCTCTGTGGACAGTGCAGTTGCTATGATCTCAAGGCTCCTTAACCTGGGTCTTTCTTGCCAGTTCTCTTCTCTGCTGAGGCAGCATAGGAAGGATACCGCGCTGTCACAGAAGCTATCCAGTTCCCACTTACAGAGTGGGTGCTGTGAGGAAGTGAGTTTTTCTTCCTTTACTAGGATCTCTGTGTGTGCACACACGTGCGTGCATGTGTGTGCCTATTTTAAATCAAAAATAGCGCAGGTGGGGTAAAGGGAGTGGGATCCTGCCGTCTCTTATGCTTTCTACCCCATATGCTGGAGTTTGAAGTCTTTCTCAGTTACCTGGACTGAGAGAAAAATTCTGAAAGTAATAGATTGATAGAATTACTCAAGGAGGTGGCACAGTTTAACTTTCCTAGCTTACAGTTTCTAGTTTTGTTTAAAAAGAGATTTCCCCAGCCTGTTGTGTTGTTGTTTTGTTTTACATATGAATGGGAGCTTTCATGTTCTTTCCTTGCTGGAGCTGATAGCAGCTGGAGGGGGTACAATTTATGTCAGGGGGATGGCAAAAGCCACTTTTACATGAAGGTAAAAATGTTAAGATATCTTCAGTATTTGATCCTTACTGATCTCCCATGTAGAGGGAGGTCTCAGATCCTCAACTGTAGTTCTCTTAAGTTGTAACTGGTTTGGCCTGATCTTCCACTAAGAAGACAAAACCATTTGATCTATTTTTCCCACAGTCTGCTCTGCAACAGCCTGATTGCCTTTCAGAATATGCAGGCAAAAACGTTGGTTCAGCTCCCCTCCAGATAGTCTGCTTATCATGGGGCGGAGGAGGGGGATGGAACAGAGCTTCTCCTTCTCCCCCCCCCCCCGCCCCAGTTTCCATCTATTGCTTTCCTACAGCAGAATTTTGCTCCTATTCTCTGCAAGCTTGGTGCCCATCAGAGGGAGAGGAACATAGGCTTTGCTTCTGTTCCACCTCCCAGAATGTATCAAGCAAGCATTAGTCCCTGCGCAAGTAAGTGCAATCCGAGAACAGGGAAGGAAATATCAAAACCAAATAAAAATGGCGACTTATATAATCAACAAAGCAACCCCCCCAAGCTAGTTGAGAAGAAACTCTGCACAAAAATGCTTGTGAAAGTGAACCACTTCAGCAGGCACATCTTCTAATTCTGCTGCTTGGAAAATTTAGATTATGTGCTGAATCACAGGTATGGATCCATCCACACAGCTCCAAAGACTTAATGACACTTAAGTCTTTTGGAAGAGCAGATAGGAATTTATGCCAGTGTTCCCATTGGACTGCAGACCCCAGACTTTGCCCCAGTGCTGCTCCAGATAATCCTCTGGCCCCCAGGACCCAAACTGCAGGAGGGCCCTGTCTATGAAGTCACTTGTGTGGCTGGATATACACTACTGTGCCATACCTGTCACCCCTATTTCCATTCCTCCACTTTGTGTAGCTGTGAAGAGCAGATTGTTCATCTGGAACTTCGGTATCATTAAAGAAGACTGGAAATTACCCCAGTCTTTTTTTCTTTTCTTTTTTAGTGATAGGATTAGTTATCTTAAATAAACTCAAGTTAGAAGGGATTTGGTTTAGATTTTTAGTTAATTTCTAAATGATTGTCTCCACTGTACATGTACTTCTGTGGTAACTGTTATTAACTAGTTGAATTTAGGATACTATTTGGATATTAGCATATATGCATCATTTTGTTGTCTGTATATTGTACTCAGTTGTCATATTTTGTTGTTTTAAAAAGATGATTGTTGGCTTGTGAAGTAAATTATGTGGTTGAAACTAAATGTTCAATAGCCTCCCCGTCTAGTGTTTATATTGTTTACTAGGAATCATGCCCATTGTAGGAATGAAGACAATGGGCGCTAGTCCGGCCTCCCGGCCACAGACCCCTGGCCCCCTTCTCACCCTCTCCAGGCTCCATCTCTCAAATCTCCAGGAATTTCCCACCTGGAGTTGGCAACCCTATCTCTTTCCCAGCCAAGCATCAACCAACCTTCACTTCCCCCTCACTGATCAGCTGTCCACCCCTCCCCCCACCAGCAGCCCCCACCGTGCTCTGAAAACCTGACTGCCATAGAACCTTGGCTGTCATGGGGGGGGGCATCTCAGCAGGGTATAAGGACACAGAGTCCACCATTTTCTCCAGGGGAACTGATCTCTTCCTGTTGGACATATATAGAGAGATTAGCCACTTCTCCAAAGAGACATTTGACACAACATATTTATTCAACTGATTTAAGCAGAGCAAAGCAGTAGACTGTGCTTATAACTGGATCCGCTGTGTTCACTGGCACTTCAAATAGCTTTCACGGTGGAGACAATTCTCCAGCCCTCCAGCTGTTTCAATTTCACTGCAGTTTGCTTTAGCTTGAACAGAGAGGATATTGATTCCTGGTCCTTTTTAATTAAGAGAGTCCATCAATAGAATTTTATATTTGTTTGTGCATTTCTTTTCTCATCAATGCAATCCCAAATATAGAAGTTATCATCTAACCCCTTTATCTCTTGTTTGCATCTCGTATCTACTCATAAGTCATAAAGAAAAAAAAAGTCTTGCAAGAACACTGGAATATCCTTATATGTTTTTTGGGGGGAAACCCCCACAATTCATCAGCCCACTATCATATCCGAATGGTAGCTAGATTTAGATGCTACAGACATAAGAACATAAGAGACGCCAGTGTTGGATCAGGCCAAAGGCCCATCCAGTCCAACACTCTGTGTCACACAGTGGCCAGTCGCAGCACAATTCTTTCTCCTTTCTATCATCCATGTAAATTACCTGTTTCCGCATGGCACACAGCTGATTATCTTGACTAATAGTTCTTTCTACAGTCAACTTGTTATGAACCTGTGTAATACTTCTTTGCATCCTTGCTGTTGCATGGGTTGCACCCCCAAGAAGGTCTGCAGTGAAATGAAGTAATACTTTAGGCTCCACCATTATCCATCCTGCCCAATTGTAAAGATTTCTTGCTTTTAAAAAAATCTGCATTCATTAAGTCCCGAAAGCTGCAGAATAGCTAGTTTGTCCTTCATTCAGTCTGTCTGATCAGATTACATCCAAAATGTGTGGTGTAAGACATTATTAAGAAAATAAGGTATGCAAAGCATTCCCTCTTCCTTAACTGGAAGTACCTCTTCATGTTGCTCCTGTAACGAAATTGTCAGGTGTTTGGAAACCAATCCCAAGTGGAAGATACATGCTTATCCTTAAGCATCTGTTCCTGTTTTTGTCCTTGAGAACACAGGAGGGCAAAAAGGAACCATTGGTAATTCTCCCTCATGCAATCAGAGATGGAACACGGTTCCCAGACTGCTGCGCTAGCGTGCCTGCAGTCACAAATTAAAGTGTGTTTTTATTCATCCCTTCCCTCCCTTTCTTACTCTCATTAGAGCCTCTTGGGGGGTGGCAGGGCTGTGTGTGAGCATATTATCTCGCTGAATGGTCTCCAGTGAGGAATGCTGCTGTACTTGATGTTAATTTTATTCCTCATACGTGTCGATGTCATAAAGTAGTTGTCACAGATTACCCACTGGAGAGACACTGATGATATTACAAGCAAAAAAAAGTGTTGTAGTCGTGACTGAATATCATGGCAATCCTGTCTTTAGAATTCTGCAGTGGCTCAGGCTAAGCAGATGAGAATTGGCTTGTAGTAACAGCAGATTACCTGGAAGATCAGAGTCTCCTGCCCTGCTGTAAGTAGTTCATGCCTAAGCAACACTACAGCAAGTTAACATTCTCTCATAAGAGCTCATTAAGTGGCGAGAGGAACTGAACCACCTGATACCACCTGGCTATAACTCAGTGGCAAAGATAGATTCGGGTGAGTAGCCATGTTGGTCTGAAGCAACAGAACAATGTTTGAGTCCAGTGGCACCAATAAGACCAACAAAGTTTAGTTCTGGGTATAAGCTTTTGTGTGCATGCAATTCTTCAGCACACAAATGCTGATACCTAGAATTAAACTTTGTTAGTCTTAAAGGGGCCACTGGACTCAAACTTTGTTCAGTGGCAGAGAGTATGTTTAGCATATGCAAGGTCTCAGATTCAATCCCTGGTCTGAGAAAAGATACCAGGTTTCGTAAATGTCTCTCTGTCCCTGAGAACTGGGGCAATCAGAGCAGAAGATACTAAGATAGTCTTCTAACTCCATACAAAGCAGCCTTACATGTTCATGAATCGGTGGATCTAGAGGACAGTCACACTCTGTTCTATCAATTGTCAAGTTTTTCTTTTCAAGGAGCAAGGACAATAGAAAGAAAGGCTTGTGAAGTCCTGTTTTTGTAAGCTACCTCGCGTCTCCTTGCAGGGAAAGGTGGGATAGAAAGATTTAAATAAAGGTATCTGTTAAATAAAATGTAAATGCATCTTAGTTTTTATTCAATTTTTTTCTTACTTATAGTGCTTGCAAATGAAGAATGGTGCATTTATTTATCAGCAGTGGGGAAGTTGCCATCAGTAACACCAATGCCTATGTCCTCTGTAGGCATGATCCTCACTAAAAGTCCCCACAAGCATTAAAAGTGAATTAGGAGGGCTGCATTGACTTTGTGAAATATTGTTCTTATATAGCAAGCCTTTTCTGTTGTTCTGAATATTGCTTTAGGAACAGAAGGGACAAACAAGATTAGAAGAAGACTAATCAAAAGACTGGCGTCTTTTTTCTTCCTCTGCAGCAATTTCAGATCAATGTATTCCTCTTCCATGCAATGAAGATGGTTATAAAGAATGCAGAGATGGCCAAGCCACGTTTACCTGCCTCTGTAAGCCAGGATGGCATGGACAGAAGTGTGAAGAAGGTATAGTTTGGAATGAAACCAGTGGCAGCTGCCAGGACATTTTAAAATATATATGACAGAAAGCACAAATGAATGGGTTTTAAATAGCACTCCATACTAAACAGCAGAGTCCTGTCCAAAATAATGGTTTTGGTTTTGTTTTTTCTAGATATAAATGAATGTGAGGATCCAGTAAATAGAAATGGAGGGTGCAGTCAAATTTGTATTAATTTTCCTGGGAGCTATCGCTGTTCCTGTGAAGATGGTTACTTTATGCTTCCGAATAAACTGAACTGCAGGGGTAAGGACACTCTTATTAACGATCCCTATTCTCACATGAAGGATCACTGCCTGATCACTGTGCTTCACCTCCACACATTGCTGAATGCTCTGTTCATACGTATTCTAGAATAGGTAGTCTCATAGCTATTTAAAATACTCCAGGAAAAACATAATTGTCCAATAAACAGTTTACAGTTAACATTACCAACATGTGAAATGGCAGACTATATTATACATGGAATCTTAATGTGTATGTTTATATGCACAGGCTGCTATCTACCCACTGAACAATTTAACTTTAGAGACGTTGGAAACGGAGTTGCACAGAACCATAATTAATGTGTATGTTTATATGCACAGGCTGTTTGGGATGCCTCGCAGACTTTAGAGACCTTGGAAACGGAGTTGCACAGAACCATGACAACTCTAGCAACTCACACATTTCAACATGAAATATCTCCAAATGGACAAAAGAGGGACTGCAGTTTACCAGGCATGGGTCATGGATTTGGCATATGGATCATGTCTGGTAAACAAGGTCAATCACAACATTTGCTTGTGGTACCAAGGCTGGCAACAGGCAAGTTTCGATATGCCTGACTGAAATCTTCTATGGAACTGTGTTTCCAACATCTCCAGCACTGAAAGGGAGGACTAGTAATCTAAGACATACATACTTAGCTACTTAGCCCAAGAATCTGTTAGCCTTGTAGCCCATTCTTTTGTCAGATGGTATCTACTGGGGTTGGGAGCCTACTCCATGGGCTCAAAGCACTATCTTTTTAGCTTCTAATTGAATTCAAGTGCTGTGCCAATGCAATCTTAAGCAGAGTTACACCCTTCTAAGTAGACTGAAGCCAATGGGAAGGTTATAACTCTGTTTAGAATTGTGCTGTACATTATGACGATAGTGCTTACCTCAAAGGAAATAGATAGTTTGTGGTACCAATGGGAATATATCACTTCAAACTCTGACAACCAGAATGAGATCATTGCCCCTTTGAAAACTCTTTGTTCACATGACTATAACTTTTTTTTAAAGTAGCTTCTTCAGGTTTATTTTTGCTGTTATATATCTGCAGAGTGAGGATTGAACTTATGAAATGGATGGTGGGGTCCATGGATGTCTATGCTAGAACTAAGTTGTTCGTCTTTAAGGTGCCACTAATGTATTGTTCCTTTTTGTTTCCAAAAAGTGGCACAGTACTTCTTTGGTTTTTTGTTTTCATGTGAACCTAGAGTTTAATGTTCATATGAGCACATTTCATTGGGCAGTAGCTGATGCCTCCCAAATTTCTGATTGTCTCTTCAGCTCAATTCCACCCTTGAGGTATGTGGCAAGAAGCAAGTGCCTCAGACATGAAAAAGTATCCATTCCTTTATGTTGGAAATGAATACATGTTCTGTTTGTACAGACAGGAATGAATGCATGTTAAACCAGAACATTTGTGGGACAGCACAATGCAAGAATATTCCTGGGAAGTACGAATGTGAATGTGCAGAAGGCTATGCCTATAATTCAACTACAAAGAAATGTGAAGGTAGTTCCTAATTATTATTTTTTAAGCAGACTTTTGAGTGTCTTGGAGTGCTCACTGTCATTATTGTACCTCAATACAGTTTGGTGTAGTGGTTAGGAGCGCAGACAATCTGGGAGAACCAGGTTTGATTCCCCACTCCTCCACATGTTGGTGTGACCTTGGGTCAGTTACAAGTTGTTTCAGAGCTGTTCTCTCACAAGTAGTTCTCGAAAGAACTTTGTCAGCCCCACCTACCTCACAGGGTGTCTGTTGTGAGGAGGGGAAGCCACTCTTTCTCTATTTGCTTGCCCGGGAAACCAAAACTTACCAATTTAACAACATCTGACATTGTATAATGTATCATTTATAACTAGGGTAGGATATAAGATTGTACTATTTGGCATATTTATGGAATTAAATATATAAATGTCTTAATTTTCGATAAGAAAAATTACAACTATACCAAATACTTGAGACAGAGTTGCAGACTTCTGTTCATTTGGAATGAGTGAAATACTGTGTAAGATAGGGTTTTTCCTCATTCAAAAAGAGAAAATATGGGACATTTTTTCATTGTTCCCCCAAATTTCCCAATATTTGCATCAGAAAAAATGGGGAGGGGACTCCTTGGGGGGAAATATTTCCCCAAATTTTCCGGTTTCCCCCCCTTCCTTTCAAATCTGTCTCTATTCACAAGTAATTGAATTTTTTTGATCATGTTTAGAGCAACCATGTAGTATGTTTGCCATGTGGTTAGTAATTTCTTTTTTCCACCCTGGCTTCACAAACAAGCAGCCACTACCATTTTTTAAACATTGTTTTCCCTCCTCACCTTCTCTTTGCAACATGCCGTCTTTACAACAGCTTCTGATATTTGGTATGATTGACTTGCCTCAGTTGGCCTTAGAGTTATATAATTGAACATAGTTGGCTTTTCTATATCTAGACCCAAGGTTCCAATCATTACACCGGAGTGGTTGCCATACAAATTTATATCTAAATTTGTTGTCATGTTTTGCTAGTCTGGTATTGTCAGGGCAACACCATACCATGTGTGGCTGACACACATGAGTGTGTTATGCTAGTGTTTTCTACAGCAAACACAGAAAATGTGGGTGAAGTAGACTAAAGTTCAAGTACCAAGTCCAGGGTAGACGCCTGATTTCTTGAGAATGGTTGTATGTGAAGATGGTCCTAGATTCAGTCCTTAGCACCTATAGTTGCAAGAGTGAGGGAGTTGATGTAGGGAACTTCTGCCTAAAATGTTGAAGAGCTGCCACCAGGCAGAGTGGGCAGTACTGAACCTAGTAGACCAATGGTCTGATCAGTCTAAAACATATTCATATACTCATGTGTTTCCAGATGCACACATGTGAATACTTAGGCCGTGGTCACACGGTCCTTTTGATCGGGTTTCACACCTGTTCTCTCTCACATTTAAAATTGCTGATCAGATGCCACATCCGCCTCCCGCTTTGAAGTGGGCTCAGTCACACAATTCTCCTGGTTCCCTAGCGAGTTTTCTAACATCAGGAAAATCAAGTACTTTCTGGGTATTTGCGTTTTGAATCTGCGATTTCGCCGATCTGGACAGCCATCTTTCGTGCAATGATTGCAATTAGGTCGTCTGACCGTCCTTCACGCGATGAGGTTCTCTCCCCCCCCCAGCTTCCTCCTTTGAGCCCATGAGCAATCCTGCACTTCATATGTTCATTGCATGAACGTTCAAGCTCTTCTCTGCTGCCACCCCCCCCATCAGTCCCTAGGTTTCTTGGTTTCCAGCGAGGCTCCTCTTGCCAACCGGCTTCCTTCTCTGCCGGGTCTAATCCATCCCACTCCAGTGTCCACTGCTGCCCCCCCCCCCGATCCTGTGCACTTTCACCAAAAACAAATGTTGCTTTCCACCCCCTCTTCATGTGTTGCCGGGAAGGGGGCAGAGAAGCTGACTCTTACCCCTCTCGTCTCCAAAGCTGACCTCCTCCCTCCCCAAACGCAGAGTGGGAACTGCCACTTTCCCCCCCCCCCAGTTACCGCGGGGGAAGGCAGGTTGCTGGGAGACCCAACGTGATCATCAGCGGGCTCGGAGCAAAGTGGGAGGGGGCTGCGATGCCTCCAAGGAGCATTCTGAAGGCGGGTGGGTGCTTTCATCCGGGTTCTCTTCCCTAGCTCCCTGCTGCTGTGTGTGTTCCTTCTTCACCTCATTTAGGCTGCAGTAGACATGCCTCGCTGAGCCCAGAGCCCACCTCCCCCAGTACTGGTTCTTCCAGAACAGACTGAAAAACCGAGGGGGGGGGGGGGGGGACACACTCACAAGCAAAGCGTCTTTACTGTGACCCCCTCTTCATTGGATAATCAGTGCTATACTGCGGCTGTCCATGGAAGCTCCACTGAGCGTTTACAGCTAACAGTTGCTATCTAGACAGTGCCTGAAACCTCATTGCACGATACAAGCGGTTTGGGGAGGGATGTGTGATCATCCCAACTTGCAAAAAAATATCCCCAATCAAAAATATAGCGGGAACAAATCACTATAGGCTTGCCGTGTGACAACAGCCTTAGTGTTGGGAAGACATTATCCATATCTTACATGTTTTCTGCATTTTTTTTTCAGAATTGATGCCTAAATGTAAAGTGGAGCAACCCTTTACCAATATAGTTAAATTTTGGGTATCTTGCACCATTTTATTAAGCTGTTTTCTTCAGCACTTTATCCTCCTGTACAGATGTAGTGAGTTAGGAAACAAATGTTTTGATGTTATGGCGAAAGTGTTACTTATACCTCTGGGCACATACTCAATTTGTTGGGAAAAACACCGGTCTTCATAGTTATACAAGAAAAATAAATGCCTAGGATAGTACACAATCAATCTCTACAACATCATTATATAAATAATTTACTTCCCCACCTGCCTCCCCAGTGGGGACACAAAGCGGTTTACATCTTTCTGCTTTTCTCCATTTTATTCTCACAACAACTCTGTAAGAGTGTGTGACTGACCCAAGAGTACGCAGCAAGCTTCCATGGCATACCTGGGTCTCCCAAATTCTGGTCTGACAATCTAACCACTGCACAACACTGACTATGTAGACACAGTTATCCGTTATTCTTTTTTTTTTTTGCTGTCAAGTTGCAGCCAACTTGCTGCGACCCCATAGGGTTTTCAAGGCAAGAGATGTTCAGAGATGCTTGCCCATTGCCTGCCTCTGCATAGTGACCCTGGTGTTCTTTAATGGTGTCCCATCCAAATACTGACTAGGGCTGACCCTGCTTAACTTTCAAGATCTGACAAGACCGGGCTAGCCGGGGCTGTCCAGGTTAGGCAGACATAGATGTAGACATAAAATCACTGCTCAGTATATTTTTTTCCTATTGTGACACTGGTGTTTTAGATACAGGCATTGTAAAATTTGTGCTTTATGTTGATGCCTGTGTGATCTTCTTGCACAGCTAGAGTCTGTTTATTCACATAGATGGCAGGTTACTAATACAGTCTTTCACACAGCCTTGCTCTTCTAAATTATTTATTGCGCTTAGCCAACAAAGCAGAGAATGTATTCAGCTTTGCTCAGTTGGGACAAAATGTGTTTTGCTCCGGTCAGCCCACATTTTCTCTCTGAATGATTGCTTTCCAAGCCCCCTGGGCTTCAGAATTTGGTGTGTGCAGTGCTCACATGCACACGCACACTTCTCTATACAATTGTATTGATCTTATTTTGTTTTCTTTATTAAAGAGAGTGTGGGTGTATGCCCCATGGTTGAATGTATAGAACGTATTCTAGATGGTACCTTTTTTTTAACTGTAAGGGATAGTAATAGCCATTTATAGTTTCAGGGACCAGAAAGATTGGTCTGAGCTTTCTCACACAGTCAGTTCTCTGACTTAAAGCTTCACAGCTCAGTTCTGTGAATTTTTTGCTCATTCAGATCATCTTTCCCACAGAGTCATCTGGCTTCCAGCTTCCATAAACATTCACTGGGGAGAGCAAAGAATTACATATTTATATGAGTGGAACATATAAGGTTGAGCGGGAAATATTGCAAATTATTTTTATTCAGATATGCAATTACTGCCCTGGATAATTCAGGCTAGCCTGATCTTGTCAGATAATGAGAAGCTAAGCAGACTCATCCCTGGTTAGTATTTGGATGGGAGAACACCAAGGTATACCAAGATTGCTATGCATAGACATGCAGTGGCAAACCACCTCTAAACATCTCCTGCCATGAAAACTCTACGGGATCACCATAAATTAGCTGCTACTTGATAGCAAAAAAAAAAAATCACGGGCGAGGTTTGTAGCCAGCCCCTAGGTAATTAGCCTTATCTATTTTCTTATTTCTTACACTATTATTTAGTGTAACTTTTGGAGATAAAATTAATTATTCTCAGGTATTAGACTTTCATATGTGTATTACGGGAGCATACATTGTCAGTAAAGCAGGCCTATGTGATTTTCAGCCCATGAAATCAAATGAAGGTACTGCACCATCTATGTATGGAGGCCCACCACCCCAAGCACAAAGTAAACCTCTTGTTTCAGCTCATATTAAAGTGAAATCCAGAATATGTAGCTGGTAGGCTTCCAGACTGGACAGGTCATTGTAGGAGAATGTCCGCTTCCACTTTTAAGTGAAAGTGTGACATCTGCAAAGCCAGCTGCCAGAAACCTAATACTCATCTGAACTTTAAAAATATGTGCATGCTCTGTGTTAGCAAAACTACCGCGTGTCTTTTAAGATACCCTTTTTACTCCCAAGGATGCAATATTGTATCTTTTGAAAACAAAAAGCAGGTTTACGTGTCAAACTGTGTGTTTCCCCTTTTTCTGCAGATGTGGATGAATGTGCCGAAAACATTTGTTCTCAAATGTGTATCAACTCTCCAGGAAGCTACACGTGCTATTGTGATGGCAAGAAAGGCTTCAAGCTTGCTAAAGACATGAAAACTTGTGAGGTAAGGCATTACGGTTATCCCTCCTTTCCTTGCTTTTCTCAGTAATACCAGAGAAGTGAAATGTTCTTCTCCAGTGATTTCAGAGAACTACCAAGGTCCATTCCAATTACTTCGTTTTGTTTGTGTATACACATTTGTCCTGCCTCATCTGAATGTTCAAGGGAATTTGCAGTAAAGCAAGCAGAGTAGAACAAATGTGTGGGGCTTCAGGTTTCATTGTCTTGACCAATGGACAACAGGGCAGCTGCCCCAGGCCCCATGCAGTGGGGAAGACTGACTCCCACCATTCCCCAATGGAAGGCAGCAGCAGATTCTGCAGCAGTAGCTGCTTGCACCTACTGCATCTGGGGGTTGGGCAGCCAGCTCAGAAGTGGAAGCCACTTGTGCCTGCCCTGTCCAAGGCTCAGACAGTGGATCCCGCCCATCTCATACAGGGTGAGGGCCATCCCTTAGTTGGACCCTGGTGAGGTGTAGGAGCCTACAGGAGGTAGGCTCGGCAGGGGCCATGGCAGGGGAGTAACAATGATTCTGCAGACCTGGATTTTTGCCCAGGGCTGTAGAATCACTAAGGCCACCGCCACGGAGCTCCATTACAGCCAAGTGTCTTGGAATTCATAACCATAGCTTTAGGCTGTGGTTCCAATCTAAACCAGATGTCTTCTCCATGTGAAGTTGAGCATCACATTCCACATAGGTTCAGTTTCAGGGGAAGTGTTTGCAAGTATCCTACCCGTTCTGTATTTTTCTTTCACGATAATCTCAAGGCAAAAGAAACAGAAGTAATTTTTAAGTTTGTTTGCTATTGCATGGATGAATGGAGATTTGAACCAGTCTTTCCCCAGTTTTAGGGCAACACTGTACATTATACTAACTCACTGTGCAGAACAGAGAAGGAGAACAAAAGCCCATTTCCAGTCTTTGACGGGGTTTTGTAGGGGTAAATCTGCCAAATCTTTCCTATCTTCTTAATGCCTTATACTTCTAAATGTCTCCCCACCTTCCATGAGTCAGATGAATTTGTACTATCGTTTAGGCTAGCTGAAGACGATCTTCACTCACACTTGGTTGATTACTTGACCTAGACTATAGTTCCCCCCTTCCCAGAGTTGAAGGTGGCAAGACAGTACTAACATTAGCCATGGTGTGCACACTTGTTCCATTCCCATCCATTGTTCAGAGATTTTGCAGGTCAATGTATTGCTTGAAATACCTGAACATCTTGTTTGACCAGAGAAAAGAAATATGTGTATACCATGTGAAATAATACCAATTTTTATCACCTTTTTGCAAACTATCTCCAGTCTTGTAGCCCAAACTTATTAGAAATCAGTTGTTTGCTTGTTTTTGAAAGGTTCCAAACCTGAGTTGGTACTAATGAAATATTTGAATAGCTCTAAGTCCCTTCGCTTTAATAATTCTCTCGCTACCAGCTAAAACCTTCCTAAGAGGTATATTAAACAATCAAAGCATTCCCATTTCTTAGATGAAGAAAGAGTGAGGTATGCAGGGTTTCACTAAAAACGTTTCTCTATGAATGGCTTCCTTTATACTTCTTTGGCAAGACTGAGCATGTTCGAGTGTTCAAACAGCTACCACTCTATACTTCTTTGGCAAGACTGAGCATGTTTGAGTGTATTCAAACAGCTACCACTAAAAACAAGCTTTGACAGAGTTCAGTGCAACGAGGCTTAAATAGTTCACAGATTAAAGGCAGATTGTGCTTTAACGTACTTATGAGAACTTGGTGAGTGGTAGTTAACTTTGATTTAATGATTAGGCAACATGAGGTGTAATTCCATTCCCTGCTGATAATGATATCAGCAAGCTGGCTTTATGGTTTTGGTAAATCACCTCATATATAGAAAGGAGATACAGAACTAATTTTTTTAAAAGTTGTCAGAACTGCTTTTATAAAATCTGTGTGAGATTACTTTACACTAAGGTTAGACCTTCACCTACAGCTATAATATTAGAGCTGTTGTTCCAAAAGGAAGTCTGGCATAACCCAGCAGAATCTTTAGTCATAATGCAGTCTTGACATCTAGACCACACCTCCAATAATACACTTACCTGCTGTGTAGATTGCCTTTGTTGGTTGGTTGTGGTTCTAATGTGTAACCAATTCCTTGCCCCGTGAAGATTTCACATGTGGTAGTCTGGAAACACAGGTCATTTCTAGACGAAAGATTGTAAAACTAGTTTATCACAAAAACAAGAAAGGGGATTCAAATGACCAGTGTTTTCACCAGTTTACTTTCTGCAATTGCCATTTATTTATTGATTGATTGATTGTCTTTACTGTTTTTACAACCGGAGTCATAAACAGCAAACAATTGCCATATAGTAAATCTAGGGCTGTGTTCATATAGGCAGTTTCATCCATTGCCGTTCCCTTACTGATTTAAAGTGCACAATCAGGCAACAACATCTGTCTGTCATGCCCCTGTTGTCTGAGTCCCGTTCTCCCCCTCCTTTGCTGCATGTTTCTTTGATACCTGAGAAAGTCCGGTCCTGTTGGTCTGAGCTGGTTCCAAAATGGATTTCCTGTTGTCTGATTGCTCTGTTGTGCACACAAGCCGTCAGGCAGGTCTGACTGGTCTCTTGTTTTCCAGCTGCCATTTGTTTTTACTAGTTAGCAAGGTGCACATAGTTGCATATACGCACCTCCCCCCCCTCAGGGGCTGCTCAAAATTTTGTTTTCTTTTTTAAAACTCTCAAAAAAAGACAGCTTTTTTCTGTACTTTGGGGGAGGGGTGAATTGAAAAGATTAGAGGGAGGGTGGCAGTGGACTCCATATCCCAGCAGTCTCATCAAGTGCTTTTGCACTTGCTCAGAGGGAAAACGTTGTAAAAAAAATGGCTGACAGCCCCATTAACTACATCCCAGCAGGCTGATCAGTGCTTATGGGCATGCTCCGAGGACAAACTTCTTTAAAAAAATGGACAATGGGCCGACTCCCTCCCTGCTGCTGTCTGATCACATAAAAGTGCTTTGAAGAGTGCTAAAAGGGGTGAGTCTGATCAGGATAAAATAACCTGGCTCAATTAGAGGCAGGGCAACAGTGGATTGAACTGCCCGTCTGAACGCAGCCTAAAAGAACAATGCTGTTTGAAGGAATCTACTGCACAATTGACTTTGCTGGTCAACTGTCGAAATAAAGTTGGTGGCAAATATCATTATATAGATTCTGACAACCTAATCCTACCTGATTCCCACTGCATAATGAGTACAAATGGCAGTGTACATTAGGAGGAAAGTAGGTATTTAAAGCTGTCCTATTACCTTGCTCAAACTGACTAAGGATTTGACCTTACTTGGTCAAATTATAACAGGTGTTTCTTTTTTTCTTTTATTCCTAGCCTGTACAAGAGTGTCTCACACTGAATCTTGAAACAAATTATGAATTGCTTTACCTGGCAGAGAAATTTATAGGGATTCCTGTTTTGTATTTAAGGTTTAGACTGCCAGAAGTTACAAGGTAAGTAGATGTCGGAAGGCCTCAAGTATAGGAGAGCAGGGGAACGGGTATACTTTACTGGAGCTGCGCAGTCTAAGGGCACCAGGGCAGGCTGAAAGCTCATTACTGTGTATGATATTTCAAAATTAAATGGATTTTTTTCCTTTCATGATTTACGAGTATTGTGGTGGGAGACCGATGTTTCCAGTTTGTACTGAACCCTGAATAATGATGCCTGGGGCTCTTTATATCAGTAATACACATTCAGCCCCTATATTAGCTGTGTTCATTGTCTGTTGCTTGTGAGTTTCATTATGTAACTGTTACATCACGTTTAGCATTACATTTTACTAGGAATAAGGCCCGTTGTGGAAATAAATACAACGAGATCTAGAAAGAGGCTCTGGGAGAGTGCCCCGGCTTTGGGCACACAGTGTGAATTTGCTGTGGCGACCTCAGCAGGGTATAATGACAGAGTCCACCATTTTCTCCAGAAGAACTGATCTCTGTTACCTGAAGAGCAGGTGTAATTTTGAGTGATCTCCAGCCCTCACCTGGAGATTGGCAACAATTGTTACCCAGGACGAAATGGCTGGTTTGGAGGGTGGAGTTTATGGCATTGTACCTGTCTGAGATCCCACCCCTCCTCAAACCTTACCATCTCCAGGCTCCACCCTTCAAATCTCCAAGAATTTCTCAACCTGGAGTTGGCAACCCTGTTTCCCTCCCAGCCAATTGTCAACCTACAGTTGTCTGCCCCCTGACTTCAGCAATCCATCTCCTCCCTCCTCCCTTCTGGAGAGCAGTTGTAGTTCTAATTGATCTCCAGCACCCACCTGGGGATTGGCAACAAGTGTTCCCTAGGATGGAATGGCTGGTTTGATGGGTGGAGTCTATGGCATTGTACCTGTCTGAGGTCCCACCCCTCCTGAAACCTCACCCTCTTCAGGCTCCATCCCTCAAATCTCCAGGAATTTCCCATCTGGAGTTGACAACCCTATCAGGACTAGCCCCAATGAGTTTTCTCCCAAAGGCCAAAATAGGTGACAAGACCAAACTTGGTTGCCTACCAATAGGCACTGAGGGGAAAACAGAGTTGCCAGCTCTAAGTAGGGAAATACCTGGAGATTTGGGGGGTGGATCCTGTGGAGGGCAGCATGGGGGGGCGGAAGGACTCAGCAGGGTATAATGCCATGCTACCCTCCAAAGCATCCATTTTCTCCAGGGGGACTGATCTCTGCCATCTGGAGATCAATTGTAACAGTGGGAGATCTCCAGGTTCCACCTGGAGATTAGTAACCCTAGGGGAAAGTCAGCTGCACAGCAGGGGGTTGAAGAGAATGGTTTAATGGCCGCTGGGCCAAGATTGGCAACAATAGTTCCCCAGGAGGAAATGGCTGGTTTGGACGGCGGAGTCTATGGCACTGTACCTGTCTGAAGTCCCACCCCTCCTCAAACCTCACCC